GGCTCGTTCCAGGGCTGCACGTGGACCCGCGCCAGGACACCACGGGCTGGGAGCTCTGGCTTGCCCCCGACCCGCTCCGTGCCGGGCACTGGGGGGGGCTGCAATGCCCCCCACTCGCTGCGTCCGGCTGCCCCACGCCCGGCTGCCCAGTCCCTCCCTGCGGTCGGTCCGATGTGCCTGTGGCTTGTGAACATCCGGCCTCGACTACCTGGCCGCCATCTCGCCTCCTGCACTGTCCAGCGGGGCGACCGGCCTCCCCGACCGGCTCCGCCTTGACTCTGTTGACCTGAGCCCCCACCCGGCGCCTCCCGCCCAGCTCTGACTCGTTGGTCTGCGAGCTGCCTCCCGGGCGCAGCCGTGTGGCCGCAGCCCCGCACCCTCAGGCCCCACGCGCCTCACCTCCCGCGGGGGGCCCGGACCACCCTCCTGTGGCCCCGGCGACCACCCACCCCAGGACAGAGCCCGCCACTCTGGAAGGCGCGCGCCAGCCCACTGGAGTCGCTGCCCGCGCCCGGCCCGCGGTGCCTGGCACCACAGTGGCGTCTCCCCACGCGGGGTCCTCACGTCAGCGCCCGGCTCCCGGCCGGCCGAGATGGCCCAAGAATGCCTAGAGGAGTGTGGCCAGCGCGGGGTGGGTGCTGCAGCAGCCGGCTCCCAGAAGCGGACATGCGCGGCCGGCCAGTCTCCAGCTGGACGGTGGACACAGCTGGTCGTGAAGCAGGACCTGGTGCCGGGGCCTTGGCCGGGCCTCCCCGGAGGACCACGTCACCGAGCCAGGAATGGGGCGCTCGCTCACAGCCGCCCAGGCTGGAGCGGGCCTTGGCAGCCCCCCAGCCCGGAGCCTCAGCCCCTCCGGGTGGACAGCGTGTGTCCAGCCACTGGCGCCCCTGCCCCTCCCAGGGGCCTAGAAGAGGCCAACGCACTCCCGTGCTGCACGCCGCCCCGGGCTCCCTGCGCCCCTGCTCTGCAGGCGGCCAGGGTCAGAGCGGGGCCTGCTGTCCTCGGGAGAGGGGTGGGCAGGCCTGGGGGGGCTCCGGCCGCTCCGGGAGGCCCCAGCCCACGCAGAGTTGGCCGGAGTGGCCAGGCCTGGGCGCACCTGGGGGAAACCCCGCCCCGACCCCGACCCCCATCCACCGGACAATGAGGTGCCTTTCCTTGACCTCAGCCTGCAGCTGTCGCGTGGACCGTCCTTAGCAGGGCCTCAGAGGCCCCCCTGGAAGACTTGGGGCGGCGAGGGGCATGTCTGCCGGCCGGGGTGTCCAGGCAGACGCGTCGTGGCCCGCCCCGTCGTCCGCAAGCGCCTTGGGAAAGCTGGTGCCCAGGAGGCCGAGAGTGGCCTGGACAGGGCCGGACGAGGCCAAACCCCCCCCTCCCACTTCCGGCCCCGGACGCTCCCCAGTGCTCTGCCAGTTGCGAGGCGCCCTGATGCCACCCCGGTGCCCCCCACGGCTCCCCGTCGCTGAGCCTGTCCCCGGGAGGAGCCATGTCCAGCGCGAGGATGTGACACATGCGAGGCACTCGCCCTGGCCAACCCGACACCCCTGGATGCCCAGCTGCTGCCTGCAGGCCTCGGGCACCAACAACCCAGCGGGTGCAGCAGGGCCAGAGCCTCAGGCCTCCTTTTCACCGAGGGAGAAGCCCCCAGCGCCGCCGCCTCTCCCGGGAGGGCGACCCCCGGGGCCTCAGTGCGCGGCACAGCGAAGTCCGCGCGGCCAGGGCCGGGTCCCCGGTCTTCGGGGCTGCCCCGGCCGGCGAAGACTCTGTGCTGGAGGGCCCGGGCCTGCCAGGTGGACTCGAGGCGTTAGTGACCGCGGCCAGTGAGTGACCACGGTGTTTCCAGCACAAGTGGCCAGTTAAAGGATGCCCGCTGGCACACTGAGCCCACTGGGCCCCTGCCTTCCCACGCCCGGCTGGGGCTCCCCTGTCCGGGCCGCCCCGGCCGCCGGAGGCCTCCTCGTGGGCTCCCTCCCGCCGTCCTGAAGCCTGCACACGTCCTCCCTGCACGGCTTGACCTCGCGACCCGTGGTCCAGGCTGAGGCGGCTCTCAGCGGCCGGGGGCGGGGCCCAGGG